TTCTTTTATTTATCTCTGCTGGTGACTCTCCTTGTGTCAATGCACTCCAGTGGCTGGTGAACCATCTGTGTGTTGGTTGTGGCACCTAGCCACTTTCACAGCAGCCATGGTTATTGTGGTGGCTGTGGTGGGCCACTCACATGGAGGTAATGTTTTTGGCATGCTCCTTGATGTTGGCGGTATGCCTGGTTGTGGGAAGTGTCTGGTCCTCAGCTCCAAGCCTTGGGTCCCTGAGTGGGCCCCAAGTTGCTGGTGCAGTGTGCCTGGTTGAGGGAGGGAGGATCCGGTCCCCAGCTCCATACCTCGGGTCCTCAGGAGGGCCCCAAGGCACTGGCACAGTATGCCTGGTTGCGGGAGAGGGGTCTGGTCCCATTCTCCATGCCTCATGTCCCCAGGCAGACCCCAAGGTGCTGGCATGGTGTGCCTGGTTGTGGGAGGGGGTCCAGTCCTCTTCTCCATGCCTCAGGTGCCTAGGCAGGCCCTGAGGCACTGGTGTGGTGTGCCTAGTTATAGGAGGGGGGTCTGGTCTCCTTCTCCATGCCTTGAGTCCCCAGGCATGGTTGTGGGCAAGGGCTCTGGTTCCTGGCTGCATTCCCCATGTCCCTGGGTAGGCTCCAGTGCGCTGGCAGTGTGAGTGGTTGTGGGCGGGGGTCCTGTCCCCTGCACAATGCCTCATGTCCCCTGGCAGAACCCAAGGCACTGGTGGTGTGCCTGGCCCAGAACTAGTTTTTTGTCCTTTGCTTAGTTGTAACACAGGGGAAATTCCTGTGGGAACCAGTACTTGAGCTGTGTTGTTGAGCTAAATTGCTGCTTTGCTGCTGTTTCCCTATGGAAGGCTTTTTGTGTAACTCGGGGTTTAATGGTTGACGTTATTGGTACTTCTGGCTCTCCAGAGACTCAGTGCACCTGGGTTGTGTAGAAACTCTGATCTGGGCCTGAGTTTTTTCATCAATCTGCACCCCACGCAATTCTGCATTCCTGACCAGTCTCCTCTGAGTGGTCCTGTGCTGATTGGAGCGCAGATCAGCTGTCCTTGCTGTGTCCCAGTGTTCTCCCAGTGGGCCTGTCTGCCTCACTGCCCATGCTGCAAACACTTCCTATGGGGTGGGTCCTGCGCTGGTCCCTTGCATTGACTCACTGGTCTCTGAATGGCTCCCCTTTTTCAGCTGTTCTGGCTTCTCACTCCTGCATGGGTCCATGGGAACCCTATTAGTGGTCTTGCTGTTCTGGGGGCCACCAAGATCCTCTTCTTCCCTGCTGCCTACACGTAACTCCATCTGAAGGGGCACAGCTGTGGTTTCTGCCGGCTCCTGCTCCATGTGCTCAGCAGCTCCAGCATTAAAGTGGCTGCAGCCCAAAACACTCAGAGCAGTTTTTTCTTTCTCTCATCATGGTTTCTCCCACCTTCACGAACTCCACAGGTCTCTCCTCCTCTTCCTCTGAGCTCCAGTGGCCCCAGCATGACTGATGTTACATTTTTATAGTTGAAAATTGGTTGATTTATGGGAGACAGTGATGCTCAGGACCGTCTATTCCACCATCTTGACCAGAACTCTGCTATGGATTCCTTTGGATTTCACTCTGGTTTTTAAATCTGTAGGTTTATGTCTCTTGTCAAATTATGGAGGCTTTCAGCCATTATCTTTTTTGAGTTTTCTTTTTCATCCCTTCCCTTGTCTCTTCCTCTGAATGGCAGTGGAAGCCCAGTGATCCCTCCACTGACATCACAGAGGGTGGCCAGGGAGGTGGTACCGGCTCAGGTACTGGTGGGGCATCTCCTTATTTCATCACAGGGTGGAAGTCTAGTTTGCCCACTTGCCTTTGCTGCAGTGCATGGGCATGGGTCATTTTTTTTACTTTTTATTTTTTGGTAGTGTTTGGCTGGAGTAGAGCAGTTACTGTCTAAAAGTTTTCTGTCTTTCTAGGCTGACTCTTTCCTGGTCCTCTGGGTACAGAGAGCATGCTTTTGTTGGGGCTTTTATGTGTGTGTGCCTGTTGGTGTTTCTGGGTTTCTGGTTTCTTCCACTTTAAGTCTGGGATATATGTGGGGAAAAAAGAAAATCCAGGGAATTGTGTCATTCTTCAGGTTCTGTATCCTTACCTCCTCTGCCTTCTCTCCATCTTTCAGGGTCGTCTTCTGTTTGTTTTACATATAAAGCTTTTTAATTTAGATGATATTATAAAACACAAATATGAAAATTCATAAAATAAAAAATAAATCTTAACTTTTGGTGATACTTTCATTCAATTCTTTATGCAAGCACAAAGAGGATAATAATAAAAAGAAAAAGAACAGCATTTTCTAACCACATTGAGGATAACTTTCAACCCTCACTCCATATTTCCCCTTTAAGAATGAACCTCACTGCTCTGGTCAATCCATGTGTATCACAGAGAGTTTTCAAAGTGATGGCCATCCAGAGCAATAAATCTGATCTTACAAATTGATATTATTTTAACACAGTTTTAAAGCTTTCATTTTATTTTTCCACTAATGCTCATTACAGAAAACTTGAAATATATAAAAGTGCCAAGAAAAAGCATATAATCACTATTAATAGTTCAGTATGTTTTCTTTTATTCTTTGTGAATATGTATATAGGTATGGTTGTACATGTAAGTGCATACAATCACTATTCAGTACAATGTTTCATGCTTTTTCCATGTAATACAGATTGTGAACTTTTATCCAGATTATCATTTCCAAAATAATTTTTAATGGTTGTACAATTTGCCACTGAATGGATTAGCTCTAATTTCTTTAATTATAACCCAGTGGTTGGAATTCAGTGGGTTTTCCCACATATTTTTCTGTATCAAATAAATAATCCCTGGAATAATCCTCTTTCTAGTTAATTTTTTACCTGCATTCATAATTCTTTCCTTAAGATATATTGCTAGAAGATGAATTACTGGGAGTGAGTGTTTGATAATTTAAAGGTGTTGTTATGGGCTGAATTGTATCACCTTAAAATTCATATGCCAGTCCTAACCTGCAGTACCTCAAAATGTGACTATTTGGAGACAGAGACTTTAAAGAGATAATTAAGTTAAAGTGAGGTCATTAGGGTCAGTCCTAATCCAATATAACTGGTGTCCTTATAAGAAGAGGAAATATGCACACAGGGACATACAGAGGGATGACCGTGTGAAGAAGATGTCATCTACAAGCCAAAGAAATCAACCCTACTGGCACGTTGATCTCAAACTCTTTAGCCTCCAGAACTGTGAGAAAATAAATTTTTGGTTTTTATGCTACCCAATCTATGGTACTTTGCTATAGCAGCCCTAGCAAACTAACACAAGTATTAATTAATATTGTCAGAGATTTCCATCAAGTAGCTTTCCTAAAAATTTGTGCCTCTCTCTCTCTCTCTCTCTCTCTCTCTCTCTCTCTATATATATATATATATACATATATATATATGTATATACACACACATATAAGATGGAAAAACCCAATCTCACTGCATCTTTGCCAATTACAAAAAAAAATGACAAAATAAAAAACTCAATTTATAGGACCATATTATGGGATCTAATGCTAATTTCCATAAAATAACAACAACAACAGCAGTAATCATGATAGAGAAAGCCTCTTTTCTAAATGAAATCCTGACCATAAATAATTTGATCACCTATAAATGAGAGACCTTTATTCAGTCATCTTGCCATCTTATTTCTCTGGATCATAGTTTCCACACCTTTAAAATGAGAGATTTAGACTTGATAGTCTTTAAGGGTTGTCTAAGTTTAAAAATTATATGGTTCTTTCCTCAATGCCCTTCAACTCTTCTCATCATTATACAGGGTCATGCTTTGTAATCAGCCTATTCTTGATCTTATTTGGACCAGTGTCCTTCCAGAGACCTCTACTAGAAGTATCATTGTTGAAAGCAAAGCTCATAAAACTGTAGCAAGGAAGACTGAATTCCAAATACAGGTCTGCTATTAAATGGCTATGTGATCTTCTCATGTCACATTGTTTCCCTGTGTTTCTTTCTTGTTTTTTTTTTTTTTTTTGTCCTTTTTGAGACCGGCCGCACCGCGCTCAGCTAGTGAGCGCTGTGAGCGCACCGGTCATCCCTATATAGGATCGGAACCCGCAGCGGGAGCACTGCTGCGCTCCCAGCGCGGCACTCTCCTGAGTGCGCCATGGGCTCGGCCCTTCTTTCTTTTTTTAATTCAAAAAACTTTGCTGGATGGCCAGTGATAAAAATAAATAAGTAATTAGATAAATATACACATACCTGAGGACATACCATCAATTCCCATCCTCAAAGAGTTCATAATGTAGGGAAGAAGACACAAGCACATAAAAATAAACTAAAATCATACATACTATAAGACATTATATACAAAGTTCCAAAAGAGTAAATGTCTCAGTAATTAATTTGGGAAAATTAATTTTTGGGAAATCAGGTAAAAAAGGAATCTTTCCAAATTTAAAGATTTATATGGTCCTAAGATGGCATTTTAAATATATTCCCTTCAAGGTTGTACTTTTGCCCCATTTCTGGTCTCATAATCCCAGCTCTATAATCACCTCATTGGCCCAGTTAAATAAGATCCTAGCAATCAGTAACTGAAGAGAAACACTGTTTTGCACCTGCCCCTCACCTGGAAATATTAGATGTGCATACTGAACGACTAATTAGAGTATATTTTCAATCAGTTTGTAAATACCGGTTTATCTAAAACCTTCAATTAGACTATATGTGTTATATGAAAACTCTTCTGTATCATTGTGTCATTATACAAAACAATTGTAAGAGAAATCTTAAGGAAAGAAATTTTGGCACCAAATTTCAGAAGATGTTTTAAAGAAGTAAAATTAAAAACATACTTTTGAAATTACTCAAATATAAAATATTTAAAATATGAAACAAATCACAGATGTACTTTAATACTTAATTGTATTTCTAAGTAATAAAACCTTATCTTACAATGTGTGAAGTGAGATCATTTTCAGTGTGAAATCATGTATCAGTGGTACTTACAAAGCAGTTCTTGTCAGCATTTCTTTTCCAATGTTTCTTGTCTAATTTCTTGGCCGCAGTGGAACGCAGAGTTGCATGAGTTTGTATGCGAGGATTTAAAGCCAGGATGCTCTGAAGACAGCATAAATAATGTATAAACATATGTAAACATGTCAGCATTAAAAAAAAAAAAAATCAAAATTTTATTTAGGATTACCCCCACATCCCATTAAAGAAAGGCTTAGATGGGACAGAAAACTTATTATACGTGAGAGAAAGATTACATGTGATCTAAACAAATTCAAAGAATAACCTAAAGTCAGCAAGATGGTGTGTAAGAAAAGTAGATGAGAAATCCTATACCTGGTTTAAAAAAAATTTTTTTTCAGTATGGGAAAATCTTGGTTAAAAAAAATTCACATGGAAAAAGTAAGAAGGACCAATTTTCTTTTTAGGAAAAAATGAATAAGAAAAAACCTTAAGGGTATGAATTGACAAAGTATGTACAAAATGTGACATGGTTTCTCAGTTACCTTATATTAATAGACTTAAACTGGACAAAATATGAACAGAGTAATTCCTATTATATTTTCTAGTAATTTATCAGAAGCAATTCTTAGCAAAAAAATAATTCTTCAGGAAAAGCAAACAAACATCAAAAACAACAACAAAAACAATAAAACAAATTTCACATTCACCAGAGAGGAGAAAGCATAGTGGCAAATGCTTCGGTTTAATTCAATTAACATTTTCTCCCAACATTTTTCAACAATGTTTATGTTTTGAAAAGCAATATGCAATCACTGAAGAAAAACCTAGAGAAAAGATTTAGAACAGACATAGAGGTTTTCAATTGCTGAAGAGCTTTCACATGGAAAAGAGACTTAATTTATTTTGCATTTGTACAGAAAGCAGAACTAAGACTGTAGAAATTAAAGAAGTGGAATTAAATTCAGATAATTTTTTTTTCAAGTGGCAGCTGGGATTGTAGTAGAAATCATACTACCCAACTTCATTGCAGTCACTGAAAAGGACATTCATCTCAAGGCTTCTTCTTCCAGGAAGGTTCCCCTGACTAATCTAGAGCTAGGTCATCTTTCTGTCCTAGATCACTCAAACATCCCTACCAGGACATACCAATGTGAACAGTAACTGCTGCTTTATGAATTTTCTTCCCTCCTAAACTGTGAATGCTTTGAGTTGAGGAATTTACAGATTTTTTTTTTTAATCTTTGAGTCTCTGAAATGCAGCACCAAGGAGGTAACACACGTTCATGGCTGTAAAATAAGTGTTTCAAAAATCCTCAATTTGGTTTTTAATTTCTACAGGCAGGCCATATACTTTAAGAGTAAACCATTTATCCTTTTTTGACCTTTGGTTTCTTCACATGCAAAACGGGACAATACCTGGATCAAAAAATCGTAGCAAAGCAAAACATACATGATACAACATGTTTTCTAAACTATAAATATTCTAAAAATTAAAATGGATGAAAATGGAGTCCAGAGGCTATGGGCAACAGTAATTCTCTGTCCATGATTTGTTCATGCAGGGACTGGGTAAGAATTTGACAGGGGTCCTAAGAATGAAATTCCTACCAGATTTGACCAACTCCAAGATCACCTGCCAAATTCAAATTCTATGATTCCTTGAAAATTAATGGGTCATGTTCATCTTTTTCATATTTAAAAATGAACACTTATTGGGATCCACAAAGAACTATCAAAAAGACAAAAATAAATAAATAAGTAGATAAAATAAATTATTATACTACTAGACAAATAATAAATATGGTGTTTTCCCTTCTGTTGCTGTAATTCCACAATAAACTTATCTAAAGTAATCAGCTAAGTGATATCCTACCTGATTTTATAAGAATATGAGATAATATGAAGAATTTAAAAATCATGTAAACTATAACAAATGATTCTCTAAGATAAACTTTATACTTAGCATTTTTAGATAAGAATAAAGTCAGAAAAAAGGCACTTCAATTCATTCTGCATTTGACCTAAAGTGGTAATAATAATACTCTCCATTTTAAGTTTTTAGAATTTAAAAGTGCTTTCACATGTGTTATTTAATTTAACTTACAAACAGCTACTACTATCTCAATATTTTGGATGAGAAAATAAGCTGACAGTGGTTAAATAACCTGCTTACAATCCCAGTTAATATGCAGAAGGGACTGAATTAGAACTCAGTTTTTCTGAGTATGAGACTTTTATTCAAATTCATCCAAAGATGCAGTCTTAATGGTGACTTTTTGAGGTATAACGTAGAAAATGTTTTTAACCACATGTGTAAATAATATTAAGTGGCACACCACCTGAGTAACTCAATAAAGCGTTATTTTCAAATACTGTCTTAAGCAAGCCTTTAAAACATAACCACTAGGGGGTCAGTTCTAGAATGGTGGAGTGAAGACCTCTGCAGACCAACTGCCAGCAAAACAACATAACTGATAATAATTAGTGAAAATCACAACCCTTTAAAGTCTGTGGAAATTGTCTTAAAGAAAAACAGCAAATGAAGAAACATTAATTCAAGAAAATCTACTAAAACTTGGTAAGAACAGTGAGGGTCTGTGGCATTTGAAGTATAACCCACACCAATCTTCCCGCTCCCAGCTCAATGTGATAGTCATTCCACCTCCGATGAGTGTAACCAAGAAGACAGGGTGCCCTCTGCCCCCAGCCTCCAGTTATGAATGCTATGGTACTTCCCAGGGAGAGGCAGGCTGCCAGTATTTCTCATTCCCACCCCCATTCCCCTGCTATGCAGAGACTAAACTCCAGGAAAGTGCAGCTGAGAAGTTAGGAGTTGCTCTATCCAGCCCCACTCCCAGAGCAGAGGCCAATAACATTGTGGACCTGTTCACCCTCACCTCACCTCCCTCATGGGGTAGAGTATGCATTCCAGGAGCAGCAAACTGAGGAGACCAGAGACTACTGCCCACACCCAACACCCTGCTCATAAAGCAAGACTGTCACTCTGAGAGAAGTGGACCACTGTCACTACCCTCCAGCTCTGGACATGTGGCCCAGGCATTTCTCCCAGAAGAAGAGACAGGCCATCAGAACAGACAGTTCTCACCAAAGGAACTGACTTTATTTGAATCCATATGTGGAGGAGTTCAAGTCTAAGAGTAATCTCAAAAACAATAAAGATTTTGATGGCAAACAATTACAAAAAAGCTGGTAGCTTCATGAGAGCAATAAACCAGACTACAAGGCATATAGTTCATCTGGGATAACCAGGAAAAGAAACACTAAGAACAGCCCTCCTGAGAGTACATAAAACCTCAAGGACTCACCTCAAAAACTAACCCTTGAAAGGGGCCCACATTCAATTGAATCACACTCTGAAGCAAATTACATCTCAGAGCATTGTCATAAATAATAGAAAAATCAACCAGAAATCAGTGGAACTAAGAGCTGGGTGTGATACCAACACAGGCAGACAATTTAACAAAGAGATCAGGGAAAAAGACAACAAGAGCACTGCTAAAACCACTCTCATCCCAGAATGACTGAGCACATGTCTGAGGCTAAACCCTATCACAGTGATACCAGAGGTTCACACTGTGTGAAAACAGACTTCCCTAAAATACTCCATTCAGCCAATAAACAAATATGCAAACAACAGGAAGCCCCATCTCCCCCAGAGTGGGGGACTACTATCTAAAATTGCTATATTACCTAAAATGTTAAGTTTTCAATACAAAAAATTATGAGCCACGTGAAGAAATAGGATTGTGTGATCCATACACAAGGGGAAAAAAAGAGGCAACAGAAACAACCTTTGAGAGGGCCCAGTTACCAGATTTAACAAAGACTTCAAAGTAGTCATTATAAAGAAGGTATGACAACAATGTCTCACCAAATACAGAATATACATACAGGAATAGAGAACATAAAAAGAACCAAATGAACATTCTAGAGTTGAAGAATACAGTAGCTGAAATGAAAAATTCACTAGAGAGGCTTAACAGTGGATTTGAACTGGTAGAAGAAATAACCAGTAAACTTAAAAAGAGGTTAAGAGAAATTACACAATCTGAAGAACAGAGAGAAAAAATCTTTTAAAAGATATGTGGTACAGCACTGAGTAAGCCAAAATACTATAATGGGAGTACCAAAAGGAGATAAAAAAGAGAAAGAAGAGAAAACATAAGATATAATGGCTGAAAACTTACCCAATTTAATTTTTTTCAAAGCAAAACAAAACATTAAACTATACCTCCAAGAAGCTCAACAAATGTGAAGAAGGGTAAGTACAAAGAGATATACACAAAGAGCATTAGTAAAAATGCTAAAAGTCAATACCAAAGAGAAAATTTTGAAAGTAGCAAAAGAAAAAAGATTCTTCATGTTTCCCTTATGGGAAACTCCAATAAGTTTAACAGCTGATTTCTCATCAAGAACAGCAGAGGCCAGTAGTGGGATGAGATATACATAGTACTAAAAAAAAAAAGGTATCAAAAATCCTACACCCAACCAAATTATCTTTCAAAATAATGGTAAAATATAGACATTCCCAGAAAAACAAAAAATGAAACAGTTTGTTACTAGCAGATCTGCCTTACAAAAATTACTAAAAGAAGTTCTTCAGGAAGAAATTAACAACAAACTTCCTTCAACTCAAAGTCACATGAAAAAACAAAGGTCAACAGTAAAGTATAGATAATTATTAAAGACAGTATGTATGTACACTGTCAGATTGGATAAAACACAATATTCAGCTATGTGCTACAGGAGACACTTTAGATTCAATGACAGAAATGGGTTGAAAGTAAAAGGACAAAAAAAGTAAATAGCAATCATATGAAAGAAAGCTGGAGCACCTATACTAATATCATAACAGACTTGAAACAACCAAACAAAAAATGCTAGAAGAAACAAAGAGGGACATTTTATAATGATAAAGACTCAATATATTAGGAAGACATAACAATTTTAAATATATATGTGCCTAACAACAAGGCCCAAAATACATGAAGCAAAAACTGACAAAATTAAAAAACAGACAGTTAAACATTAATAGTTGAATAATTCAATACTCTACTGTGAATGAAGAATTGAACAACTAGGCATAAGAACAACAAGGAAATAGAAAACTTGGACAACAC